AGCGCTGGGCGGCTCGGGGGGACCTGCCCGGCGCGGCCTTTTGTTGTGATGCCGCGGGGGGAGGGGGCTGGGCGGAGAGGGCCGGGGTCCCAACCGCGCGGGGACCCCCTCTGGCTCGCCTCCTCCTCCTCCCGGCCGGTTGAGACGCGGGAGAGCCCTGCCGAGCCCCGGCCAGGTCTAGGCCAAATCCGAAATCTGAGCCAATCGGCGCCGTGTCTAGCAGTGGCTGCCAAGCCAGGCGCCCCCATCCCTACGGAGAGGTGGGGGCGGAGGCCGAGCTCGCCGAGGGGCGCAGGGTGGGGGCGCCGGCCCTGCCGCCGGGATCTTCCTTCTCTCGTGGGGCCTCGGGTACGGCCTGGTTGCTGGCCTAGAAGGCACTGGGCCACACTAAGCTCGGTCCACACAGACCCCCGCCCCGCCCCTGAGCAGGCCCCGCAACCAGCAGCTCAGAAGTTGGCAAAAGTTTTGGGCTTCGCTACCAGGCCAGGTCCACTTGCTTACCTGGACAGGGGCTGTGGATGAGTATGAGTCCTCACCTGGCCACCACTTGCCGTCCTCTGTGTTCTCGTGTTCAGACACAGCTTTTCTGAGCCATGTCAGTGTAGGTGAGCTGGGGGACCGCTGAGCGGGTGAAGAGTGGGGTGAGTGGAAGGGACTCACCTGTGCGAAATGCCCAGGGCCCCTGGGTTCTTCAGTTGTACTGGAGAGTGGATGCAGGGGATTGTGGGGTCTGGGCAAGGCTGAGCCTCCTGGCCTATGTGCTGCTGGGGTAGTGGTCCCTGGGTCACCTGGTGAAGCCAGACCCAGCCACAGTGCAGCTGAGATCAGACTTGGTTTCCAGGGTGGGCCAGGCTTGGCTCTGCCCCAGAGAGGTGAAGTGAAGGAGAAACCTATGCTTCCCATTTTCCTGGATGACACTGGCCAAGGGGCTACCCCTTGGAGCCCCTATATGTAAAATGGGGCCCCTCTGGAGAAGATCCTATGTGCTTATGCAGCTCAGGCATAGTTTAGAGTAGGTACAGTTGTCAGGAGAGTAGTCCTATACTAGCTGAATTGCCCAAGGTGAGTGGAGTGTGAGGCTGCTGGCTGCACCAGATCTCCTTTTCAGAAGAGAATGGGGTTAGTGCCCAGAAAGGTGCCCTAGAGCCCTTTGCAAAAGAAACAGCTGCCACCCTCATGTCCATGTGACCCTAGGCAACTCACTGCTCCCACCAGCCTTAGTTTCATCAAGTCTAAAATGGAGCAATAGTAACAACTCCTAACACCTAGGAGGCAGGAACTCTGGTCTGTTGTCTTACTGCTTGGAGAAGGGAAGTGATTTCCCTAAGGCTACACAGTAGGAAGCTGACATTGGCCCCTAGACCTCAGAGGTGATTGAGTCTTACTGCCCTTGAATCCCTCTTGGTATCCATGGGTGCTCTGGATGGGACAGGCACACAACAGCGTTGGAGAAGCTGCATGATTGATGGAAGCCATGAAGCCTCTCTGGGGATGTGGTATGTGCTCCAGTGATGTGGTCTTTCCATCCTTGGAAGTGACTTACTGTGTGTCACCATTCTCAGCTGACTGCCTGCCATGGCCCTCAGGTGCACCCCTGGGCCTCATCAGGTCTCTGCCAGGAGAGCCTTTTCCTCCAGGAGCCCCAGGACCCCATGTCAGCCTTCCCACCCAGACTGGCTGGGGCCTACCTCTCCCAGCAGGAGCCTGCCCCACATCTCCTCCTGAGTTGGCCGTGGCCCACAGCCTGGCTCTTGCTTTGGCTTCCTCCCTGATTTTCACCCATGGGTGGGGGATGTCACTCTCCCCAACTCCAGGAGCCACTCCAGGGAGGATGTGGCTCAGTGACCTGCTGACAGACCCCCTTCCCACTTAGCCCTGGTCCTCAGCTGACTTTGTCCCCCCACTTGGAGACTGAGTGCTGGGTGCCTTCTGTGTACAGAACCTTTGAACTTGGCTGAGCAGTGTTGTGGTGGGTCGGTATGGAGGGCTTTCAGGAGGTGGTGCCTGAACTGAGGGGAGTAGCTGCCCCCACAGCAAAGATCACTTTAATTTTTTCTCTCCTGCTCAGATACTTCTCAGGGCTCCTGGGGTGGTGGGCAGTAGGCAGTCTAGTGGGTACTCCCTGGGGAATTGTGACCAGGTTCCTGGCCTCCCCAAGTTTGACTCTGGAGCCAAATAGCAAACAAGTTGCAAGAAAAATTAATATACAATTGCAGATGAGCTAAGGCTCAGAGAGAGGCCTGGGAACAGGGGAACCTTGAAGGAAGAATGAGGGGAGTGGCCAGGCACAGAGCTAGGGAAGGCTGCCTAGGTCGGGGGAGTATACTTGCAAAGGCCCTGAGTGGAGGAGTGTGGAACCCCGGGAATACCTTGAGGCTGGAGCACTGAATGGAGGGAGGGAGGGAGAGGTAAAGCCCGGCCTTGTTATCAGCAGGGCTGGACCTGGTGAGGGCTCCAGGCCTTGGAGAGGAGCTTGGCACCATCTTTACATAGGGCCTGAATAGCATCCTATGTCTGAGCATCCTCATGCCGAGGAACAGGCCATGGTCCAGCCCCACACAGCTTCTTGAGGGCCTGCTGGAGGTGCAGTGGAAGCCAAGGGAGCCATTGCTGACCAGACACCTGTGGAAACAGATACATGGGCAGGCCTAACCAGGTCTCAAGAGGGGAAGGCATGTGATGCTGGGAAAGCCAGAAAGCCCAAGAGCCAGACATTAGGGAAACGCAGTGATGTGAGATGGGATGGAAGCTTGGGAGTGAGGTGAGGAGTAGGGAGGGTCAGCAAGAGAGATGGAGACAGTAAGTGTTTGTGAGTTGGATGAGCCTGGGTTCAAGTTCTCACTGGCTCACTTGTGACACTTCCTCTGGTGAGGCCTCAGTTTCCTCGTCTAAGAAGTGAAATAGTGCGCCTTTGGGTCATTCGCTGTATCTTTCAGAGACTTGCTTTCTTCATCTTGAAAATGGGGCAGCAGGTATCTTCCAGGTTAGGCTTAAAAGAGGGCTCTGTGCTCAGTGCCTGGAACCAGTAGATTCTCAGAAAATGGACCCCACTTTGCGTCCTGTTACACTGGGCAGGTCAGCTGGCACTTCTTATGGCCTCATCAGCGGTGTGGTCACAGCCTTGAATGGATGATCTCATTGAATTTGAAGGGCTGGTCTAAGAGAGGACATTGGCAGTTAAGGTCACCGATGTGCTGGGTGACCTTGAGCCCTCTGCCTTCCCTGAGCCTTCTCTGTGTGAGAGAAGGCTGAACTGGGAAGTGAGCCCCAGTCCAGCCCTGCTCAGCTCTCTGAGAGCCTGTGGGAGGTGAGACTGGGCAGATTGGGTGTGTTCTCCAGATGTAAATACTAAGACTCAGAAAGGAAAAGCCACTTGTCCAGGGTCTCTCAAGTGACAGGGCCAGGCCTGGGCCCCAGTGCCGCGCACTCCGTAGGGCTGCCTAGGCCCCTACAGGCCTCAGAGGTCCTGTGAAGGCCCTGTTCCCCGCTCTGGGGCTTTGACCAGAGCCTCATTTCCTGCCTCTGGTGTGGCCCTGCTCCCCTCTCTCTCTGGTTCCCACAACCCTTTACTTCCCCCCTCTGCTCCTCCTCCCCCTTTATCTCCCTGGGAAACTGCTCTGGCTTCCATCTGAATGGGGGAGGGGACACTTCCTCTGGTGAGGCCTCAGTTTCCTCGTCTAAGAAGTGAAATAGTAAATCGTGGATCCCAGGGTGTCCAACAGGACTAAAGTACTTTACAAAAATTAGATGCTCAATAAATAAGGGTGGGGAAGTGCTAGACATGAGCTGAGATCCTTTTTTGGCCACTGAGGCCCCTTCTTGGGTTTTAGTTTCTGAAACTAGAGAGTGGGCATGGGATTTATACCTCACAGGGCAAGGGGAGGAGAGGAAGCTCTAGCTTCATCTGGTGGCTGTCTTGGCCTTGCCCCTATATTTCATTATCTTTTTTTTTAATGTATTTAGTACAGGGTCTGCAGAGTCTACAAGGTCTCATTACACAGATTGGACTCGTAGTGATCCTTCTGTTTTCAGCCTCCTAAATGCTGGGATTACAGGCGCACGCAACCTCACCCATTCTCCATTGCCATCTCAGTGCACCCTGGGGCAGGGCCAGCATGGCACTCTGGGGATCGAACACCCAGGCCCTGTGTCGGCCTAAGCAGGTGCTTTAATCCACTGAGCTATCTGGCCCTGTATTTCAACCTCATTCCCAGCTGAAAGTCCAAAGTCAAGGTGCTTAGCCTCTGTGAACCTCTGCCTCTGATTGGCTCCTTTGTGAGAATTAAGTCTCCTAACATAATCCCAGTGGCTTGAATCTACGGCTATTCAGCAAATATCACACCTTTTTTTTTTCCTTTCCTTTTTTCCTCTTGTATAGATATCATCCGTCCCTCTTTTGGCCTACAGCTCAAATCACACAGACTTGAAGTGTTCTGCTGAAAAGCATTCTGAGGTCCAGACCTGACTTTGTGGGAAAGAGTGAGGTGATAGATTAGTAATGTCTGCCATAGACAGAGGCTGAGCGACTACTGTATATGCGTCATGTGTTTGTCATTCTTGATCTATTCAGACCTTTTCTTTTCACTATGGAGGAAATGAGGCCAGAAAGACCCAGGGCAAATCATCCAAGCTGGGAGAACAGTGCAGATCTGTCTTTTGATCTAGGGCCCTTCCCAGCTTGCCTGCCTGCCACCTCTACCACAGTATAGACTGTGGCCTGAGTTGAGGGATAGGTAACTGGGGAGCATTGTAGAGCTGGAACGCAAGCCCCTTTGCTGTGAGACCTTGGACAAGTGATTTATCCCCAACATTGGTCCCTTCTGCTCTTCCTGTCCCTAAAACTACCCTGAGAAGTTCCAGAATAAAAGGAGAAGCTGGAAGGGAGAAGTTGAACGGTCTTGGCCCAGCCCCTTCTGTCCTGGTCCTTTGTTTCCTCATCTGCACAGTGTGTGCTCGTTGTTCATCTGGATTCTAGGATGGCACCGTGGTGCTGTCTTCCCCAGGGACAGGCCTGGCTGAGTCCTTTTTGGTGCCTGCGTGGGGCTGGGGTATCAAGCATGGGTAGAAGGTAAAGGCTGTAAAGCTGTTGGAGGCTGCAGGATTGGGTCTTTTGAATCCTTGGGCTCTGGAGCAAGCACAAGCCGAGGGCGGATGCTGGTGGAAACTGGCTCCAAGTGGCATCCGGAAGCATGGCCTCTCTGTCAAGGACTGATTAGCTCTTCTCAGACGACTTCATACAAGTTTGTAGCCTTCATCTCACTTTGCCTCATATTGATATCTGCTCGTTGTACCCTCTGGAGTTGGATCACAGTGAGGTCATCTTCTCCTGGAGGTGGGTAAAACTTTTGTTTTGTTACAAAGAAAAGACAGGCTCAGAGAAACTAAGGGCTCAGGTATTGTCACCCAGAAAGTGCAACATGAGCCTAGACTTTTGGTACTTGAGTCCTATTGATCTCGGTGTGGCTGACCTTTTTCCAGGTGGTGCTGGGGGCAGGTGACACTGGCTCTCTGCCCTTCCAGCTCTGCCTGATGGGACTCCATTCAGACCTGGAGTCCAGGGCTCTTGCATGCTCATGGAAGTAGAAAGACCTTTAAAGCCAGTTGGCTGTGGGTTTGAGCCCTGCCTTAACCACTGGTGTGCTGTGTATGCTGGTGGGAAAATGACTTCCCTGAGCCTCAGATCCCCCATCCATGAAGGAGGGATGATGGTGCTAGTGCCGGCTTTGACAAGGTGATGTGAGGGTCAGCTCAGCGAAAGTGTGCTAAGTGCTTGCCTCGGGGGCCTGCATACAGCCAGGGCTTGATGTTCCCTAAGCAGGCAGGAAACCGGGGCTCCTGCAGGCCTGCTGATCTGGAAGTCCCAGGGCTCTTGTTGGTCACCATGGTCTGTGGCTGGTGCCTCCTGTGAGGCAGAGTGGAGGGAAAGCTTCCTGGAGACAGGCAGGCTTGGTTGTTGGATTGATCAGAAGCCACCAGCTCCATCTAGCCCTCCCAGACCCAGTTCCCACTTCAGTCCTTTCCTGCCTGTCACCTGTGATGGCGTCCCTGTGTCCGATGTCTCAGCTTGGCCTTTGAGGCCCCGCCCTGAACAGGGCCCATCTGGTCAAAGGTGGCTGCCATGGGCTTGAGAAGCAGGAACTATGTTTGCCTTTGTTTTGTTGGGGGGTGGCTGAGGCTCCCAGCGCTTCTCTTGGCCTGAGCTGCGGGACTTCATCGTCTCCCACGTTTCCCAGTCATCCAGGGGACCCCATTGCCCCTCTGAGCCTTCGCCCGTCTTCCGCCCTTGTCTCTGCAGGTTCCCCCTTGCTCAGTACCTTTCCTGGGGCCGAGGCACTGTGGGCTCCAGAGAGCTGTTACTCTCCCTCCTCTCACCGCATCTGTGTCCTCCCCTGTGGCCCCTGGACATTATGCCATGAATGATAAGTCACGAGGCTCTTTTGCCTCTAAAGGCATGGGGTGATAATTCTCACTCTGGAGCCTGCAGCACTTTACATAGCACTTCCCACAGTCACCTCCACACAGGGCTGGGGGAAGGACAGAAACTGGGTTCTTGCCAGGGGCTTGCTTGGGCAGTTGGGCTTCTACCCCACTGCCGGGTTTCCCCAAAGTTCCATGAAAAGGTGGCCTTATCAAAATAAGGATTGGGAGGCTCAGAGCGGTGAAGTGGCTTGCCTGAGGTCACAGAGCACTGAAGGGGCAGATCTTGGAGGCTTCTTTCTAAGAATCAGTGTGGAGTCCAGGAGACTTCTCCATCCTCAGCAGCTGTGTGACTTGGGAGTCAGGTCACTGCTTGGTGCCTCACTTTTTTGTTGTTGTTGTTGTTGTTTTTGTACTGGGGATTGAACTCAGAACCTTACTGCTTGTCCTGGCAGGACCCACTTGCCAGGCAGTCACGCATGCTGCTGAGCCATCTCCCTGGCCTTATGCCTCAGTTTCCATCTGAGAGCATTGCTTGTTTTAAGGCTTCTGTGAGGATCTCCACATGTGTGATGCCAACAGGTAGAGAGTAGTGAGTAGGTGTTGGCTGCTGTTATGGTTTATGTGAACCTGGGGAGGAAGGGAATGACAGTCCCATTCTCCAGCTGAGCAGACTGAGGTGCAGAGAAGGGCAATTGTGTTGGCCAGGGCACAGTGCACTACCACCTTCCTCCTGGGACATATCCCACTTTCCAAAGGAGAAAACTGAGACCCAGAACCTGGGAAGGGACGTGCCCATGATTCCAGTTTCCTGCCTTGAGACTGGGTGGACGCCTCTCTGTCCGCTTACTTGATCTGGACCTGGGGCATATTGCTTCTCCTCACTGAGCCTCGTATTCCGCATCTGGGAAGTGGAGGTAGTAAAAGTGTATAGATTGGGGCTATAGTCATCTCCATAAAACATTTAGCTCGAGGCCTGGCCCAGAGGAAGCATCCAGCAAATAGCTACAAGGAATAGGGTCCTGTCTCCTTCAGGACGTGTTCTCTCATCTGCGCAATGGGTCCATCCATGCTGCACAGCTGATTCTAACCCCTTCTCACAGTGGCTCTTCGGTCTGACACCTCACGAGTGGCGGAGTTGAGGATGGCAGGTGGGGCCTCCTCCTCTGCTTAGCAGGTCCCTGGGCTGTGTGGCTGCAGCTGCTGCCACAGCATCTGGTCTGTCTGCCTCCTGTGCTGCTGCCCTGGGCGAATGGCTTCTCTCTTTGACTCCCAGTTTCTGAGCTGGGAGATGGGAGCAGGAGTTTTCCCTCAAGCACTGTAAGGACTGGACAAGTGCACTGTCCCCAAATGTCTACCATGCCAGGCTTCTAGAAAGTGTCATGGTTAACCGGCAGTGGTCAAGGTTCCAAGGATGGGCAGGATTCTGATTGGCAGGAAAGGGTAGCAGCATTCCTGGCAGTGACCTTGGGCTTGAGGGTGGGACAGTTTGCAGGCCATGTGGCTGGTGAGTTAGGTGGGCAGCGCCCCAGGCTTGGACCAGCCCTGGAGGACTGCTGGGCCCAGCCATCTCTTCTGCTCTCCCCACCCCCACCCCTGCCAGGTGTTCCCGAAGGCCCCGGAACCAGATGAGCCACTGTTCTATTTGGGGACAATTCTGCTGTTCCCGTTTCTCTCCTGTGCCCTAGTTTTAGAAACGACGTGGGTTTGGTTACCAGTTGGCCATTTGCACAGAGCTCCCCCCTCCACCCACTCCACCCAAACCTTCGCTCTGTGGGCACTGTGGGCAAGCAGCACTCTGCTGCCCCTGGGAGTGCTATGGTGAGAAGGTGGCAGCTGGCCTGCCATTACCTACCTACTGGTGATGCCTGGGCCTGTGGTGGGTGCTGGGGACCCCAAAGATGCTCTTTGGGGACAGCTTGTACTCTTGGGGAGACAAATACAGACCCTGATCTTTGTCCTACTGTGGGGTTGGTGCCACTACCACAATGCCAGGAGGGCTTCCCAGAGGAGGTGACATCTGGCCTGCGTCTTACAGTGTGAGCAGGAGCTCAAGAGAAGAAAAGGGCAAGGACATGCTTGGAAGAAGGGACACTGTGCACAAATCCTGGAGGAGGGAAGTGGTCTTCTGTACATGTGGAGCCTGGCGAGGTGGGAGTGGCAGGTGTGTGCCAGATGGATGGAAGGGGACAGTTAGTCTGGCTTCTCTTTGGGGCACTTGGCCTGGGAGTGGAGCAGGTCCCACCCCCACCCATGTGTTGCCTCAACAACCCTTTTCTTTGTCCTTCCAAGGTAGGGATCTGGAGCCCACTGTGGGTTGGGAGAGAGGGACTGGTGTGGGCTCTGCAGGGAGTGGGCCTAGAAAAACCTCCTAGATTGGGTATGGTGACTGCCAGGTAGGACAGCAGACTCTGGGACAGTGGTGCTTGAGCCACGCCTGATAGAGCAGTGTGTACAGCGCCTCGGGAGCTCGCAGGCATCACAGGCAGGTGGAGGGCCCAGGAGACATGGGTGCTCAGCACTGTGGTTGGCGCTGGCTCAGACAGTTTGGCTTTGGTGAGGTGGATCTGGGCTTGCTGGAGAGAAAGTGGGTGCCACTGCCCCTAGTCCTTCTGCCCACAAAGCCTTTCCCGAAAGGGCAGGCACAGGCTGGCAGGAAGTGGGGACACCCTGCAGCCCAGCTGCTGGAATCCAGGGTGCCTGGGGCTTAGGGTGAGGGCTCCCTCCCAGGGCACAGTGCCAGTGGGTGAGGGCCAGCTCCTAAGACTCCTTCTCTAACCCAGAGGGTCTGCCCACTGTGCTGCCACATTGGCCTGGTTTTGAGCTTGATTGCTTTCTGAGAGTCTTTGGCCAAGTATCTTTGCCCTTTCTAGCCTCAGTTTCTCCACCTGCAGAAATGAGGTCATCCTAGAGCTTCTCTCCTGGGGTCTTTGAAAAGGTGAGCTAAACTGGAGGACTGGACCAGCCTCTGTGGCTGCCTTTGAGCTGTGGCCCCAGCTGCCTGTGGTGCAGAGGGACAGCTTCCGCTGGGGCCTGGCTCTCAGCACTGAGCACAAAGCCCCTTTGTGGTAGGACAGAGGGAGTCTGGGAGTCCCCCTCTGGGAGCCAGGGCTTCCTGCCCCCTCCTTTGCACTCCTTCCCCAGAGAGAAGGAGCTCCCTGAGGCGAGGGTGGGAAATGGCAGCTGGGTTTGCAGGGTCAGAGTATGGTGGCTGGTGACCCCAGGCAGACTCTCCATTCTCTGGGCCATCTTCTCAGGAGCCCGCTGTGATGCTATGCTCATTCATTCATTCATTCATTCACCCATTGATCAGTGCTCTTTCTGTGCCAGGCCCTGTGCTTGTGACCAATGTCTGTTCTGACCCCCAAGCTAGGTCCCCACACACCCAGCTACACACTGTTGAGTGTGACAACCACCACAGAATAGTCAGCCACGAGGGAGGCAGAAGTGTCTCTGTCCTCATGAGACATATACCCACACGGTGAGTCACGTCCTGGTGTGGGCCAGGAAGGGGAAGTTGAAGGCCCCCACTGGGGCTGAGTGATCAGGGAGGTCTTCCCGGAGGAGGTGGCTTTTGACCTGGAACTGGAAGAGGGTACAGTTGGCTAGGTGTGTTGCTATTTAGACATGTGGTCAAGAAGGGCCTGTTGGAGCAGGAGGATGGAGGGCTGCAGACCTGGAAGGGAAGAGTGTATGCGTGTGGGAGAGGTGTACCCTGGGCCGCACAGACCTTGAGTGCAAAGGCTGAGGCGAGGGAGGGCTGCAGGCGGCTGGTGTGAGTGGAGCAGAATGCAGGGAGGGGGTGGGGCTGGTGACGGTGCTGTAGGGCTTGTGTCCTTCGTCGTCAGGCGAGGGGTGTGAGAGGGATTAGACTGGCATCTCAGAAAGGCTGTCTGCTTGGCATTGGAGTCCTGA